TTGCGCGGCTAATCTGTCGACTACTTACATACCACCACAAGCAGCTGTATGTAGCTCTTACCCTGTAATCTCCCTGACACTCATCCTCTTTTCCCCAACCCTCATTCTGTTTTCCCCAATGCTCATCCTTTTTTTTATATTTCCTGGCCAATCAGGAGATGACAATGTGGCGATCGGTAATGGCTGCCATAATCTTCTGGTTGAGAATCTCGTGTGCATCAACGGCCACGGAGTGAGGTGAGGAAATCAACGGTCATGGAGTGAGGTCAGGGAATCAACAGCTGTGGATTGAGGTTATTGCAACAAGGGCCATATGGTCCTTGCGTCTGTTCTGTCACGCTCTCGTCTCTCACCCTATCTCCCTCCTTTCCATCACCCTATCTCCCTCCTTTCCATCACCCTTCCTTTCTCTTCCTTTCCCCGATCCTCATTGCGTTTCCTCCTCCCTTTCTCTTCCTCCCTTTCACAGCATCGGCAGCCTGGGCGAGGATCAAGAGAGAGCGTGTGTGTCGGACGTGCTTGAAAGGAATGTGAGCTTCACAGTTCCCAAGGACAACCTTCGTTTCTTTCCCTGCCTCTGCTCTCCACCTTGCTCCTCCCTCACAGCATCGGCAGCCTGGGCGAGGATCAATAGAGAGCGTGTGTGTTGGACGTGCTTGTAAGGAATGTGAGCTTCACCGGGTCACACAACGCTCTCTCCCCCTCTCATGTTTCCACCCTGTCTTCCTCCTCCCTTTCCCAGTATCAAAAGACAAAAGACAGAAGCCTGGGCGAGGGCCAAGAGACAGCGTGTGTATTCGAAGTGCTTGTAAGGAACGTGAGCTTCACGGGGTCAAACAAAGCTCTCTCCTCTCCTCTCTCATCCTTTCCTCTCGCTGCCTTGCCAGCATAGGGAGTCTGGGAGAGGACCGAGACACAGGGTGCGTATCGGACGTGCTTGTAAGGAACGTGAGCTTCACGGGGTCAAACAACGCCCTGCGAATCAAAACGTATCAGGGAGGCAAGGGGCTTGTATCGAACGTGACTTATAAGGACATCCGGGTGACCGACGTCACATGGCCGATAATAATCAATCAGGTATGCAGTGTGATGCAGTGTGATGCTCCCTCCACTCATGAAATTCCGACCTGCCAGGGCGGCAAGGGGCTTTTGAGTTGACTCAAAAGTCAACAAGGGGCTTGTATTCGACGTGACTTACAAGGACCTCAAAAGTCAACAAGGGGCTTGTATCCAAGGTAGAAAAAAACGATTGTCGAAAAATACGATTGTTTTTTTCGATGGTTTTTTACGGCATCTTTTGGGAAAAAAACGTCGTTTTTTTGTTAGACAAAAAAACTCTTCAACTTCAAAGATGCTGTTCTGATCACAAAAGCACTTCTAACAATCTTCCGCTGCATCATCAGCACTTCTAACGGCCCCCTTGTTCTTCTCACCAGTCAATCCCCTTGTTTCAGCAGCAGTTTTGGTCTTTTTACTGAAAAAAACGAAGGTTTTTTTGCACCAAAAGTATTTATTTTCAAAAACCGTTTTTTATCGTTTTTTACGATCGTTTCTTACGATACGGTATTTTACGATCAAAAATTGAAAAAAAACGTCGTTTTTTTGCACCTTGCTTGTATCCGACGTGACTTACAAGGACCTCAAAAGTCAACAAGGGGCTTGTATCCGACGTGACTTACAAAGACCTCAAAAGTCAACAAGGGGCTCGTTTCCGACGTGACTTACAAGGACCTCAAAAGTCAACAAGGGGCTTGTATCCGATGTGACTTACAAAGACATTCGAGTGACTGACGTCACGTGGCCAATCACAATCGATCAGGTATGCATTGCGGTGCAGTGTGGTACAGTGTGATGCTCTTCCCTCACACACCCCTCACGTGAAAGACATACCAAGGCAGCAACGGGCTTGTAACGAACGTGACTTACAGAGACACATTCGAGTGACTGACGTCACGTGGCCGATAATCATTGATCAGGTGTGCAGTGCGGTGCAGTGTGATGCAGTGTGGTGCTCGCCCCGCACAGGCCAACACATGAAAGACGTAACAGGGCGGCAAAGGTGCAGTGTGCTGCAATTTAGTGCAGTTCGGTGAAGTGTGGTGCCAGCTCCTTCGCAGCAGTCCCTTTCAAGCTGCTGCTGACTGTTGTTTTCTCCTCCCAACCCCCCGTTTCCGGTCTCCCATCACAGTTTTACTGTGACACCTCTGCAAGCAAGTGCCGGGAGAGGAAGGAAGCAGTGGCCGTGACAGACATCAGCTTTATCAACGTGAAGGGCACGGCCAACGGCACTCACGCCATTCTCTTCAACTGCAGCCGATCCGTTCCATGCACGTCCCTGCTGGTCTCTGGGATTGCCATCGCCCCATCTGCCAACCGAGCCAGCAGCCTCGTTCAAGCCGCTGCAGCTGCCGCTATTCCCTCTTCCTCTTCCTCCTCTTCCTCCTCTCCCTCCCGTCTTTTCATCGATTTGTCATCCTCCTCCTCCTCCGCCTCCTCCTCTCTTCGTGCCAGCTCTGCTGCTGCTGATCCAGACGTGCGACCTCTATTCCCTCACCTCTCCTCTTCCTCCCCCTCCTCTGTCTCCTCCTCCTACTCGCTCGCTTCTCTCACTCAAGTGCCTCCTCTTCTCACGGAGTTCAACTCAGCCTATGGCATCACGACAGGCCTCCTCTTTCCCACTCCCAAAGTGAGCATTTCACACACACATGCACACACTTACACACACACTTGCACACACACATAAAACCGCACACACGTGCACACACACCATAGTACATTCCCTTTCACTCTCCCCATTTCCATCTCCAGAGGTGCGCAACGCAGATTCACCCCCCTCACCTCATTGACCCACCCACCCCCTTTTGGTCACCCCTCCACTCTGACCTCTCCCCAGGTGAAAGCCTGAAAGCACCTCTCCCGAAAGCCTTTAAGCCTTTTGTGAGCCTCCCAAACAACCCACCCTCAACCCCCATGCTTGTCACCCCCCACTCCGATCTCTCCCCAGGTGCAGGGTGATAGCTTGTTGCAAGGCGCCTAAACCAGAGGCTCCTTCCCCCCCATTCCCCATTCCGATCCTTGCAGGTGCGAGGATGGACCTCCGTCACCCCAAAGCCGTACACCCGCTGGCTCGTCAACTCCATGGCAGCCCAGTGCGGGTGAGTGAGTGGGTTAAAGTGATCGGAACATAGTGAGCATGGGGGTCAGCACAGAAACACCACTGTATTCCAATGCACCCCCGGAACCCTTGCATTCACTGGCTCATCAACGTGAGTGGGCTACAGTGATCACTGAAACCAGGAATGTTGCCCGCGGCCCACCTTGGCACACTTCACCTCACCTCACCTCACCTCACCTCACCTCACCTCACCTCACCCCAAAGCCTTACACACGCCCTGGCTCATCAACTATATGGCGGCCCAGTGCGGGTGAGTGAGTGGGTGTGTCAGAAGCACAGTGAGCATGGGAGTGAATCACTCCTGTCCATTGCCCCTTAGAGCCCTCTAAGAAACACCTCTCCTTCAAAACTCCTTAGGGTCTTTTCTAGAATTCTCAAAACAACCTCCTTCAAAACTCCTTTAAAAACACCTCTCCCTGAAAACACCTCTCCCTGAAAGCACCTCTCCCTGAAAGCACCTCTCCCTGAAAGCACCTCTCCCTGAAAGCACCTCTCCCTGAAAGCACCTCTCCCTGAAAGCACCTCCTTCCCAAAGCCACACACCCGGAGGGTCATCCCTCCATGGCAGCTCAGTGCGGGTGAGTGTGCCAGAGCCACCAATGTAACCTGGACTGTGAGTCAATAGAGTCAATTGAGTTACCCTCTATAGCAGCTCAGTGCGGGTGAGTGTGCCAGAGCCACCAATGTAACCTGGACTGTGAGTCAATAGAGTCAATTGAGTGAATTGAGTTACCCTCTATAGCAGCTCAGTGCGGTGAGTGTGCCAGAGCCACCAATGTAACCTGGACTGTGAGTCAATAGAGTCAATAGAGTCAATTGAGTGAATTGAGTTACCCTCTATAGCAGCTCAGTGCGGGTGAGTGTGCCAGAGCCACCAATGTAACCTGGACTGTGAGTCAATAGAGTCAATTGAGTCAATTGAGTTACCCTCTATAGCAGCTCAGTGCGGGTGAGTGTGCCAGAGCCACCAATGTAACCTGGACTGTGAGTCAATAGAGTCAATTGAGTCAATTGAGTTACCCTCTATATCAGCTCAGTGCGGTGAGTGTGCCAGAGCCACTAATGTAACCTGGACTGTGAGTCAATAGAGTCAATAGAGTCAATTGAGTCAATTGAGTTACCCTCTATAGCAGCTCAGTGCGGGTGAGTGTGCCAGAGCCACCAATGTAACCTGGACTGTGAGTCAATTGAGTCAATTGAGTCAAATGAGTTACCCTCTATAGCAGCTCAGTGCGGGTGAGTGTGCCAGAGCCACCAAAGTAACCTGGACTGTGAGTCAATTGAGTCAATTCCTGTCTCGTTCCCTCCTGCTCCCTCTTGCTACAAATGCTACAAATTCAATTCCTCACATCCCTCCCAATTCCTTGAGCAGGTCTGAGCGGGTCTGAGGTGGTCTGAGGTGGTCTGAGGTGGTCTGAGCAGGTCTGAGAAGGTCTGAGCAGGTCTGATAAGGAGGATGAGCGAGTCTCCCTTCCCCCTTCCCTCCTGCTGCTCCCTGCTCCTATTGTTGCAAATCTCATTCTTCCATCCCTCCCATTCCCCACTTGCCTCCTCCCCTGAGCAGGTCTGAGCGAGTCTCCTTTCCCCCTTTCCCTCCTCCGCCCAAGGCCCCCACCCCCAAGCCACCTTCCCCCAAAACTCCCACACCAAAAACACCTTCACCAGTTGCACCTACCCCCAAGCGAGTGGCCCCACCCCCTGCTGGTTCGTTCAAGCCCAGACAGCAAAGGCCGCCCATCTCCCCTCCTTCAACTGCCACGTCATCACATCTGTTCCCTCGTGCTGAATCATCATCCTCGTCATCGCTGTCGTCTTTTGAGATTCTTCAAAGGGCGTCACATCTGTTCCCTCCAGCTGAAACATTGCCGGTGCCATCCTCTTTGCCCTCCTCCTCCTCCTCCTCCTCCTCCTCCTCCTCCTCCTCCTCCTCCTCCTCCTCCTCCTCCTCCTCCTCCTCCTCCTCCTCCTCCTCCTCCTCTCCCTCACTCACATCATTCTTCTCAGCTCGCCTCGTGCAAGCCGAGGCTGCTCGCGCTGAGGCCAGAAGAGAACAAGCGTCTCAGCTTCATCATAGTCACGATTCTCAAGGTCTCATTGCCAACAGTCACGTTCGGTCCTCCAGACGTGTGGATACACATGCTTTGACTTCTATCCCCCTTCCTCCCCCTCCTTCCTCTCTTCCTTCCCCTCCCCTCCTCCCTCTTCGATTCTCTCCACCGGTACCAGCCCTATCACATCAACTAGCAGATGACCATTCATACCCCTAAAAAAACTCATCACACCACAGTGCACACCGTTGACTGTATACACTGTCAGTTTGTCTATGTTGCGCTTAGCCATAGCTCTCTGCTCGAGAAGAGAGCATGAAAACGTGCGTTGGAGGTTCAAGAGAAGGGCCGGGAGCGCTGGTGCTGTCTATTGTGGTATTCACTACATAAAGCGTAGAAGAACCATTATCCCCCATGTTTCTATTATGGTGCAGTTCAATAAACGGGGTTTCTGTAACGTTTTTCTACATATATGCTATTAGTTGTGCGAAAGAAGAGTGCTCGGAATGCAATAATGCGGAAGCGATTACAACTACTGAGTGAATAATGAAGTTAAGCACAGATATAGTGAAGGCTAGCTAGGACGAGATCGCGGGGCCACGAATGGTTGGGTGCATGTTCGGGGTTGGGGAACACGAAGGCAATGCGAGGGACGTTCGGAGGGCGATGTCATGCGTGTCCTTGCAAACCGTGAGTCACTCCAAAGCGGGTCCTGGGAGGGAATGTTCTGGAGTCCCGAAAATGTGGCGCGATGCAAGCTACTACGGTGGTGCGTATCGCCCAGCTTCGGCAATGGCAGCACGCCCTCGTCCTGCAATCGCGTTCGTCGATGCAGTCGGCGTGTGGAAATCTCTACAGACGCCGTCTGGGTCGAGGTCATGAAAGGCTACCTCGCGCGGATGTGGGTGCTGCGGAACCTATGGCCTCTTGTCGGGGTGCTTCCACTCAGAGCGATGGATGTGTTCAAAGCATAGCGGAATGACTTCGATTAACTCATTTGAGTCGCTGTTGGAGTCGGGGATGTCGAAATCGAGCACGTACAAGCTGTTCTCAAAGTGTGCTTGTCCGATCTGCTTGCATGTCTGTCAGGCGCTGGGTAGTACAGAATGATATCGCGTGATTGGGATCGGTGGTGAGTTGCACCCTGCAATCCGTGAGTAGCGATGCTGACAGGAAGTTGAACCTCAGATTCTGCACGATGAGCACATCATTTAGCGTGCCATGCGTGTTGCTCCCATGCGCCACGAGAAAGACAACGCCTTGCGCGCTTGCATGCAAGCGGTCGTTGTTAGCCACGGTAATATACGCAACCATGGGGGTCGGGACTGCATTGAATATGACACGCGCAGAGCCCACCATGTGCTACCCGTAGTAGCTGTCGAGGTACCACGTGTTGTGGTGCTTGTAATCATCACGTCCGAGCAGCGCCAGTCATGGCGTGACGATGCGCGGAGTGTCAAATTTGACTAATTGTTAGCACAAGAGCTAGTCAATAGGTGCCGCTCGTGAATCAAGTACGTACAGGGGGGCTTTCAAGCAGCGGGATCGGAAGGTTCCAATCCTGGTCGTCATCGCTGTTGTAAACGTGGCCTAGCGTAAAATAATTGTCATCCGTGAAGGCCCCAATGGGGTGTGGCGCTGGCTCTGACGGCGGCGTTCGCACGCGGCGACGAGGGGTTCCGCACGTGTGTTTCATTGTCATGCCACTCCGCGTGGATCCAAGTTGCGACGACTGCTGTTGCTGAACTGTTGGGTTCAAGTTGCGTGATGTGGGTTGATAGCCCTCGGCATGACGCACATCCTGCCTTGCGTCTTGTCGGTCGGCCCCAAGTGCTCGGATTGGACTGGCGGAGGCTAGAGCGGAATTTCCATTGCTCCACCGAGTGCCCAAAATCTATGCAGATTTTGCAGTAGAGGAGACGTGGTCGTCAATCTTCCTTGTTGTCGGCGTAGAAGACGAGACGTTCTCGTTCTCGTCGTGGCGCGGGGTGCTGCTGATCCATATCCGGTTATTCGAAAAGAAGGGCGGTGCATAGGGCAGCTTTCGAGATAGCCCCCTATTGCCGGAGGAGTGCCTTGCAGGGTCACCATTCAGAGTCGAGCCCTGCGAGAACGATGGTAACAAAAAATTCCTTGAAAATTGAGCTCCCGTGCTTCGCGATTTGATCGCGGATGCTCGGGAATTTTGGGGCCCATTTTTATCTCCATCAGTTGCTGGAGAATTTGGCTCCATGCTACATTATCCTTGGGCTGATATGCTTTTGTGAGGTATTGCGAGACTTCCAGTGCTAGAGCGGGCGTTGTTTTGTAGGAGCGGATTCCCAGCTGCTCCGCATGTGACGTGTTGCGAAGCAACATGCTGTATGCCGTAAGTGAGTCATTGTAGTACCGCGCTTTGGCTTCTTCAGTGTCGGTCGCGAGTCCCGCATAGCTATTGTCGAAATAGTGGAATATCTGTGCGTTCCGCAGTAGCAGGTCCAGCTCGAAGCTCTACACATAGAAATCTCTACCGTCAAAGCAGGTGCCTGTCTTTATTTTTGATATGTGCAGAAACCTTGATTGTGTTGAGAGAATTACGTCATCGCTGGGACGAGGGACTTTGGTTGTTGATCATTTTGTTTCGGAGGAGAAGGTGTGCGGGGTGGTATCGCGGCAATTCGTGGCCGATTGAGAGATTTGGGAGGATTTTCCCGCGTCGCCATTCTGCAACGTCTGGAGCCCTTGCTCCAAAATTGAAATTCATTGAAGCAGTTGTTGGAGTGTGACGGTACTGATCGTCGCCATTGCCTCGTTCGAACACCTGAGCGCACAGGGAAGAGGGGGCCAGAAAAGTTATTGACCGAGACTCGAGTAGTGGTGTCGGAGTGAAGCAGGGACACCCAGCGAATGAAACTAGGAGGGATACCCAAGTGCTGCAGGCACATGTACATGAAGGGCCTGTCCACCATGTCATAGGCCTTCCGTATGTCCACTGTGAGGATTAGAAGTGGGTCACCTTGTGAAGTTGCCCAATCCATGAGGTCCAAAGTGCTATTTATTGTATCACCGATTCTTCTTCCTTTGATAAACGCCCCTCGAGCTGGATTTTTTATCTTCGAAAGGGCAGATTGCAAGGATGAGGGCGATGATCTTATAATCTGCATTCATCAGCATGATCGGCCTGAGATTCGCGACCTGTTCTGAGCTCCCTCTCTTGGGAATGAGCAGGTTCTGCCCTCCTTCATAGAGCCTGGTATCTGCCCCTGAGATTTGATGGTTGTGCATAGAGACGGAAAGAGTGGAGAACAAAAAGTTTTTTTTTTGTAGGAACAAAACAACTCGCCAGGAAGCCCATAAGGCCTGGGGGGCTTTCCCTTGGAGAGGCGCCCCAGGGCTGCTTCGATTTCAGCGAGGGAGAAGGGCTGGTCCAGGCGGACAGTACATGCGAGGGGAAGAAGAGACGGGCGGACATGGTTACAGAAGGAGGTGTCCCGTGATACGGTTGAGCTTCCGTTGTACAGTGTGGAAAAGAAATCAGCGCAGTGAGTAGACATGGCTTGTAAGCTTGTGATGTTTTCATTGGAGGGAAGTTTCAGATGGGGAATAAGAGAGTCTAAATTCGTCCTTGAAGGCCCACCAGTAGGAAAGAGACACCCATTTCCCTCAAGCCTTCCACCTTGAGCTTTGCTTTAAGCGCAATTTCCGAAGCCCGTGAAAGTTCATACACTTCCAACCTGGCGGAGAGGAGGGCTAAGCGATTAGCGCCTTGTAAGTCAGACGGATTTTTGAGGAGATGAAGTTGTAAGTTGCAGACCTTGTCAGGTGGTTTTTCTCACCCTGATATTCTCTTTACTTTACCACTGAAGTTGCCGGTAGAGGTGTAACTTCCACCTATCCCAATCCTCGATGGTGAATCCAGGCTGGAGCTCCTATGTGGACCGTTCCAACACTGAACAGACGAAAGGTTTGGAAATTAGCTGCTGCGGAAACCGCCGCGGCCTGGGAGCCATGTTAGGATTCCGAAAACGGGGAACCACGAGCGGCCCTCGGTTGTGATCAGAGAGGGTGTGAGGGACAGAGACGTAGGAGGCGTGGTGGATGCAGCCTGCCCATTGGTCAGAAGCGTAAGTTCTGTCGAGGCGGGAGGAGGAAGGTGCAAAATTGGGAGCGTTAATTCTTTTCAGGTAGGAGAAGGAGAACATGAGCTTGTCAGGAAATCTGTGGCGGTAGCAGTCGATGAGGGATTGCTTCTTGAGCGTTTCCCCTAACATTAAAGCCTCTGTGAGTTCTATTGGTTTCAGGTCACGATTCTGATCCATGGGAAGAAATACTGCGTTGAAGTTACCTGTGAGGATGGTTGCGGCACTGGTAGAAGGCTGCTCGAGATAATGAGTCACCGTAGGCAGCCGCCAAGCTCGTCGAGCCAAGTAGTAAGTAGCCGCATAAACTGCGAGGAGACGAAATTGTTCATGTAAAAGGTTACAATGGATGTATAAACACCTGCCATCGCCAGCTGAGGATCTGCTAGAGATGGAAACACTAGGGTGAAATATTAGCACGGCTATCCCACCAGGCTTAGCCTGAGAGGAGGAGGAGAGGCGGGGGGGAACCTGGGCATAAGCCTTAGGCTTAAGTTTGAAAAGCAAGTGAGAGAAGTTGGTAGTCAGCCTAGTGTCAGTAAGTACGAGGATATCCTCCGGTTTCCTTATGAACTAGGACCGAAGAGCTTCCAGTTTTTGTGGAGTGTTGAGCCCATTGACGTTAATGCTTTGTATTTTAAGGTGTGTATCCATTATTTAACATAAGTTGAAGCCCCATATGCTCCAAGGAGCACACATCCACTGGGGCGGGTAAAGGGTACACCTACAATATGAACACCAACATTAAGGAGATAAAGGAAAGTGTCACAAGGCACCAAGCCGGAATGTATGAATTCATCTGCTGATACAACATGTCAGAAAGGCTGGGATACATGCATGTCACAGAGCCTGCCAAACACCTGCAGGGCCATCCTATCCCTGAACGAGGAAGGTGGCAACAACCGCGTTCTGATTAAAGATATGCACTTTCACATCCCCAAACTTTTCTAGGGGGGTGGCGTTTCCAGCGATCTACTAAGTAGCAGCCTTGTGGGAGGCGCAGGCGATGTGCTCCATCGCGCTGTCCAGAGCCCGGCCGCATCAGTAGGAGCACAGGACACACGTCCAGACCTCCACCTCGAGGTTGGTCCCAATGAAAAAGGTGCCCGGTTCGGCCTTGAAGGAAGCCACCAAAGGATGCTGTCCAATGATCCTGGCTGGAGCATGCCAGGGA